CCGCCCCGCCGCGCCTTCCCGGGGGCCGCGGCCGTGGGGTGCTCTTCTCTCCGGACGTCACAGCATTCTGGTTCGTCATTGGTTAGGAAGGCTTCATAGAGCCCTGCGGGGTGAAGACAGGGCGGCTGGTTACCAGAGGTGGCGAGGGGAGATGGGGCCAGAGAGGCTGTGCCGTCTAAGCCTCGTCCCGAGGGCGGGCGGGCACGCGGCCGGGCCTACATAGTGGGGAGACGGCCCGAGGCCTCGGGCCACCCCCATTCCTCAGCGCGGTGTCCTCTCTATTCCTGGCAGCCCGGTGAGGCTCTGGGCGCAAGGGGCCGTCTCAGTGGGCAGAGGCTGGGGCCTGGGTCAGCTTGGCGACCTGGCACACTCAACCCCTTTTCCGTTAACAGCGGTGGGGTGAATAGGCCAGGCTCGAAGCAACCGTCCACTAGGCTAGGGCGACACCGGATCCCGCTTCCCCATAAACTCCCGAGGTGCCCCCTGGTGGGCTCTAATGGGTCATCACCCCCTTTGCTTATTTTCTAAACTTTTATTCTCACGGCTGCAGCTGCCGCCCAAAGGAAGCCTTTCTTTGGGCTGTTGTTGGTCTTCTCTCCTGACCCCCCACTGCCTGGCAGCCAAGAGCTGTCTTGCTTTCTCATGAGTCTCCCCCTTTTCTTTCCTTCTTTGCAGAAGCCCTTCTCTTCTGCTGCTGGCTTTGGTCTTCTCCTAAAGCTGCCTGTTGTTCTTAGCCTAAGACCAACAGACGAGTGTTTGGGGAAATTTCCAAATGGTACACAAACGTCTTGCTGTAATCTTTCCCATCTTATTTCTTGCTATAGTGTCTGCTTTGACATAGTTGCATACACCATTCTATATCATTTTTTCACCTGACTGCAACAGCAACTTAAAATGGAGTTTCTCCACAAATCTCATGAGATAGCTTGAAGAACTTACGAAGGAGCACCAAGCAGTTGTAAGGGTTAGACGAGCTCTTGCGTGCAAAACACTCCTCTCAGTGTCCAGCACCGAGAAATAGCTTGGGTGTTCGACTACTGCTAACAGTAACCGCTGTCGTCACCGTCTCACCTCAGTGATAAATCCCTCTCCTTCCAGACCCGCTGCCTGCTCTCTCCAAGTCTGCCCCTCCGGCCTGGCTTTTCCTCCTGGACTTTGTGCCTAAGTCTCACTTCATCTGCCAGGTTCCGCTACCTTTGGCTCATAAATTCCCCTGTCTGGGAACTAGTCGGCTGATTGCACTGGGCTGCTAGTGCACGGTGAGTAACTCTTCAGGAGAGCAGCTTTTCCCCTTTTAATCACAACTGCTTCCTTTCTCATCTGCCATGGTAAAAGCAAGAACTGCGTATTTTCAGCCTCACGTTCTCAGTGGGTAGCAAGCACAAAGTCTGGGCAAAATAGATACTTAATGAGCATTTATTACATGAATAAACTCAACATCTGTATTTCTGAAAGAATCTATGAAATAATATACACTGCAATTTTCAGTTTCTTTTAAAGAAATGGCCAAGATATCCTTATAATGATGCTTACAATATTCACTTCTTCTTAGGCATTCAAAGGTAAACTTCACCTTCGCCTAGGTAGAATATGGAAAAAAAACTGAATTAATGAGGTCCCCATCTCTGTCATGTTTATTGTATGTCATTTTCTTTTTTCATATAAGTTATCTCACGGGTAGGCTAATCAGTTATCGAAGTCTGTTTTCTCATATTCACATCCTTTAATCTAGAGCGTTCAGCGTTAATTTTATAAGAATAAAAATATCGAAAGTTCATTTCAATCAACATTTTAGAATGCTGACATCAGAATTTGTCGGACAGTGTCACCCAAATAAGCAGCTTTTCCAAATCAGCGAGTTCAGCGATTTATCACTTTACTTTCAGATAGAATAAGGCAAGTTATAAATGTACTTCTCATCAATTACCAATACTCTCATTTCCCCTCATTTCTCATAAGGCTTTTCATTCAGAGCTGAACATGCATGTACATTAAGGCTCGGATCATTCAATGTGATACTTTACAAAATTGGGGGGAAAGCCCTCCACACTCCCCTCCCCAATTCTTCCTTCTCAGAGGCAAATATTTGCACATTTTTTTTAAATTAAAGAGACATTGTATCATAACATTATATAAGGCCCAGGTGTAGTTACACGTCCTTGGGTTGCTTCTGTATTTATTGTCACTCCTGTAACTAACCCACTCCGTGTTTTCCTCATTTCCCACACTGGGTCAGTACCTGCAGGCCAGCCAGAGTCAGTGAGGTGCCCTCCCCACCCGCTCCTGCCTCCCCTCCAGCCCAGCCCACGCCTGCGACCCAGTAAGTCCGGCATCAGCGTCTCTGGATCCAGGTGTTGTAAGAACGATTCTTTCTTTTTAAAAAGATTTATTTATTTACTTATGCACACAGAGCGGGGGTACAGGCCAGAGGGGCAGGGGCGGTGAGAGGACTCACCAGAGACAGAGTGGGGAGCAGAACAGGCCGACTGACGAAGGACACGGCTGAGGGGAGCAGCCGGCGGGTCAGGAGTGGTCTGCCGTGCCCTGTGGGTCACCTGCGGGGCCAGGGATCGAACTGGCAGTGAGGCGGCTGCGGCAGCCTGCGGTGCTGCGCCCTTACCCGCTGGCCACCAGGGGGCGCCGTGAGAACACTTCTGAACTCCGCGTGCAGCAAACCTCAGGGCTCAGTGCCTGCACACCAGTTTCCCGAGCGCTGCTGAGCTCCGAGCTTTCCACAACTTCCTAACTCACCCCACACCGCCAGCTGTCCCCGGCCTGGCGAGCTCTCCCAGAGTTATCGTCCTGCAGAGAAGCCTCCGGAGCCCCGAGCACCTGGCCCTGCCCTGCGCGGCCTCCTCCCGCCGCCCGCGCTCTGGCCGCTGCTCACGTCGCGACCATCCAGCTTTCTCCCCCCAGGAAGAGCGCGAGCGAGGTAGGGCGTTTCCAGATGCTGTGCCTCCTCCCTGAGCGACCTTAGGCTGGGCTCAGACTCCGGCTGAGGACGGCAGCGGGCGTCCTCGGGGCGCCCCACCCGGGCGGGGACCTGGGGGCTGCACCCATGCTCGCTCACTGGGGGATTTGTTGCGCTGTGGCTTGAGCTTTCCTTTTCCGTCCTAATTTCCACGAGCTCTTTCATGCGCTCTGAATGATTGCTATCTTAAGCGATTGCTCTGGTTTCTCCGTCTTACTATGTTGTTCTTATCACTCCGAGAGGTTGTTCTTTGTCCTGTACATTTTCCACGGTGGATGGGCTGTGTTTTCTCCAAGTCACTTTTTGTCTTTTTTTGGCATGGGCAGCCTGCGGAGTCTCGATTACCTGGTGGCCACACTGCGATGAATGGGCAGTGTGGACACTCAGGGCGCATTCTGGCCGGGAGCCGGCCTGTGGGAGCGCCTGCGGAGCTGTCTGGGTGGAGCCCCTCTAAGACGCGGCGCTTTAGGCTGGCCGGGTTGCCCAGGAAGCGCCCGGCATCCAGGGGTTCTGGATGCTGTAGGGGAGAGCTGCCGGCCAGGATGCCTGCCAGCGGTTGCCACCTGGCTGGCCCGGGAGGCCCCGCCCTGCTCTACCCCGTGGTTCCCTCCGACAACTTCGCCAGCCAACTGCAGAGCCGCCGGCTCCTCCCAGGACGCCTGGGCACACTGTGCTCTGGGGTGAGGCCGCTCAGCTGGGCAGAGAGCTGGGGCTGTGGAGAGTGGCGCTTGCAGGCGGGAGTCCTGCCAGGCCTGTCTTCCCTCTCCTCCTCAAGCACCCTGGGCGGGGCCAGCGGGTCAGGGTGTGTGACCGCCCTCGGCTTCCTCTCTCCGGCCCTCCCGTTCCTTTTCTAGGGTTCGCCAAATACTCGGTGTGTGTCAACCTTCTCTCTCATTTCTGCGAGGCTTCAGGGGACACCTCCTTATCCATCCCTCTGTCTTTTGGACTTAGCCTGTAAACATGTCTTCCCTGTTGGGCCTGCCTAGAAAACAGCTCTGGCCTCGCTCTCCCTCCTCCTGCTCTGTTCTGAGTCCTGACCGGTGTTGCCTCCTGTCAGATACAGTCCTGGGATCACCGCCCTGTCCAGCCCGGAGTTTCTCTGCTGGATGTAGAAGCATCCATACCACACACCCCTCAGGGCCCAAATGCCCTTCAGCAGCTCCCTCGAGATCCCCAAACTGCCTTGGCTGGAGAGAACATCTGGCCAAAGGGCTCTTGGTCCCCGGCCAATAGCCCCTGGGTTGGGGCCTCTGGGTTTCTTGGCTCCTCAGGGCCAGGGCCTCCTGGCTTCAGCTATTTGCCCTCTGCAAGTTTTCCTTTCCTGGTCCTTCCCTCCCTCCCAGGAGTGGTGTCCAGAGCCCCCGATGTCTACCTGCATGTAGACAGGCTCTCTGGCCACCTGGTGTGGCTACCACCTCTTCACTAAACGAACGTATTTTTAAACGAAAATAAGTAAATTCAACAATGAATTTATCACACACGTATGTAAGTGATCAAGGTTAGGAAAGAGAAAAAGCAGTTTTCAGTTGGTAAAATACTGCTCTGAAGTGTTTTGCTTACAAAAAGTTTAATTTGCAAACGCTGATGATGCCTTACCTGCTACTGGACATTGAATTATAGTAATAATCTTGCTATCTTATAATGCCAGCCTCATAGGGTGCTTTTGGATGAGGAAATAATCCACATAGCTATTTAGAACAGTGCCTGGCAGTTAGTAAAATCTCACACAATATTAATTATTCCTATCACAAGTTGGCATAAATAGCAGAATCATAATTATTATTAGGAGGGACTTAAAAGAACATATAATTTGAGTCCGTTGTTTCCAACTCGTCTCAGCCATTCAGAAAAAAATGAAATCGTATTTTTCACAGCACGAATAATGATCAACTCTGGTCATTGTAAATATTATCTAAAAATAGTCAAATATTCCAGGGAAACCCCGGGAATCCCCACAGGATGTTATTTGACTGTAATCCATCGTCCGCTCAGTAACTTATCTTTCCCCATATTTCTCTCTTTCCAACTTTGTTGAGCAATAGTTGACATACATCATGGTGTTCGTTTTAAAGCGAGCAATCTGCCTACCTTCCGGAATGATTGCCTGCCTAGGGTTAGCTAGTATCTGTCTT